GTGCCACTGCACTCAACAAGGCAGCCCAAACGACGTAACAGACAACGTGCTACTGCTATCTGCCTAGTGGCGTAACGTTTGCGGATGGGCACGCACTGCGAAAGGCCCCACGATAACCTCCCCTTGCTGGGGTGCATCGAAAGGTGGTGATCTTGTATCGACGATAGCCAGAGATATTGTCAAAAACATCAGTTGTTGGCAATATATGATAATTGGCGTTTCCAATTAATGTAGGCCTATTACATTCTTATTTTTATTAGGTATATTATTATTATTATGAAGTTACTTTTATTATTACATTAAAATTACAATTAATTTGCCCCACAATAATGACCAAATAACTGACGTGCTGCGAGGATAACAAAAGTTTAGTTAAAAATATATTTACTCCTCAATTGAAATGTAAAAAAAAAAAGGTATTTTAAAACAGGTCTATTAGCCTATACAATGAATTATAGGCCTATGATTAAAATATTAACACTTCAGGCATCAATAAAAATCAATTAAATAAAAAGCTTTTATTTCAAGCACGACTTTCAAAAACAACAAGGGAAAATAAAAACTGTTAGCTATATACCGTTATCAGCATATGTTGAAGTAGATTCGTCTCGTCGTCTCTGAGAGAATATGCGGCGTCAGATGCCGAAAGCTCCGTCATTACTTCCTCTTTCCGTTTTTACTTTCACTTTCTGTATAGTGAATTTAAGACGTTCATCGGCATAACTCTTGCGCAAAGTTTTGCAAGTTTGCAAGCCTTCATGGTTTAAAACAGAAATATTTCCAACATTGCGACATAACCAGCTACCCCGTACCAAACCATGTGTCGTACCGAACCGTGAATTTTGTGAACTGTTACACCCCTAGTAAAAAACTATCCTGCTGCTCATTTCAAAATGTTATCATTGGCATGTTACTAGTACAATAGGGGAAAAGGCTCATTACATATACAACAAGAATTAGACCTATAGTTAATATCTGCACTTGCTGTACTGAAGACATTATATTTCCCCGAGTTTCCTTCAGCTTTTTTGTCCATCTCCGTTTGTTTTCCATGGTGGTGTTGAAATTTTACACTTCGTTGACTCTTCATGCATCTTAACCTCTGGATGAACTGCGGGGAGTGGCTTTTAAGAGCTTCTTGAATGGCTGATGTGTTGCCTTTATGTCTGGGTTAAAACACTTTGCCATGGCTCTAATGATGTGCAGAATGGATATCTGAAATTGATACCCGAAAGACACCTTTTCCTGCTTTAATATAGTACTGCATGGTGATAATTCTGAGAAGCTTTGCATTTTTCCTTTTATCTTAAATCAAGTGAACCATATCCCCGAATATATAGAAGTAAATGAATCTTGCCTCATGATTACAAGCAGATCTTTTAGACCCATGGTGATGTCATCATCTAAAAGGCCTGTCACTGCCTAGAGGTGCTACAATTTCATGATGTGGGCATTGTTTTTGGGAAAGATCACCATCTGTTTCACCACAATTGCTTCTGACTGTGCTGCTAAACCGAAGTGGAATGATCAAGTCAAGTAATCCATGTTTTATCCAGCAGCCACAGTTTGTCAACAGTCATGTTATGTTCTTGCACTGGTATGATTGCTGTGACACCATTAAACTAATCATAATTGTATACTTGTAGTTAGACTGCTATGTGTGCCACCCAAGTGAGAATGGGAACTGGGAGTTGTTTGCTTGAATATTTCATGCTGTCGGTCATTTGGCCTGGGTCGTTTGAAGAGCCCATCTGCCTCTCGCAGGCAGACAGTTTTGTCCTGGAGGTTAGCAGCTGGTCAGAGTCTAATGCTTTTCAAAAATGGGCTCAGCTCCTCCTCAGACTACTTGATATTGAGTAATTTTTGTTTAAGACAAAATATGATTAGAACTGAACTGGCTCGTTTTAAAGGTCTTTTGAAACGGTGTGCTTTCCTTATACATCTCTAGTGTCTGTACTGCTTTTGAAAAGATGAACCAGTGTTATTTTAGCATCATTTATATGCTAATAAGGTATTTGTTTATTGTTTGAAGATTTTGAAGCTTTGAAACAGTAACACTGGGATAAACATGATTTGCTTCTTGATATTATTGTCTAGTGTTGAATGAGTCATCACTATTTTTGACCTGTTTTTCCTGAAGATTTTAGATATCTGTGTAGCCTATATCTGCTGAATGAGATTATCGTACTACATAGAAAACCTTAAAGCTAATAGACGTAGATGAATAACCACAAACTGCAGTTTTGATTTCGTATAGCCTAGTCTTTAAACTCCTTTTCCTGTGTACATGAAGAAACTTTTGCTTTCTAAAAACTAATGCCAAGCATGTGATGTAATTTTATGATGTACTTATCCAAAAATGTGATCTAGTTTTGATCATCTTAAAACCTTTCATGCTAGGTTCAGCCAAAAATGACGCGACTTCTCTGCAGACTTCACTCCCTCCTTGATTCTAGGTCAGGACATAGTGTTCATCATCCATACTGCCGTTGCCTCAGAGGAAAACTGTTACTCAAATGTGCTTCGCTGTGCAATAACCCCCGAGTTGTCATGGAGATTGTTGTCATCCTGGCAGATGTATGCATGCATGCATGCATGCATGTGTGTAGCAGCCCAGCTTTTTGGAAAATGTTTTATCTCTGTTTCTTACTTCAGTTACCACAATCTTTGGATTTTTGCATGTTGCAGAAATTCTCATATTTCAATAACTGAGCGGAAATACCCCATTTAAACGCAGATAATCTGAAAGCCGGCACCCTGCCTGCTTCATCCTTTGTTTAATCTCAAATGATAACTGCTATTCAGCATAGAGCAGCTTGTGTTATTGGGGTCACTGGAAAATTCCACTGCGAGTTCTGAAAAACATGTTTATTCTCTGGGAATTCTCTTTTCCTGATTCCAATACCTGGACCTGCTGAGAGGGAAATACCACAGATAAAATATCCTCATGTTATTTTGGCCCAGATCATCACACGCTAAAGAAGATCCTACTAAGATACTGTGCACTTCTTGGCGCAGATCTTCAGCTGATTCGAAAGCGCTGTAGAATTTATCTAACTAATTCCACTGGTTTTGCAGAGCGTGGAGAAGACCGGCGGACAGTGATGACTTCTTTAGTGAGGGAAAGGTGCAGACGGAGGAGGGAATGGAAGACCACTCATCCGGCTCACGCGTCGAGCAGACGTATGCCCATATAAGGGCTTGTGACTCCATGGCAGAGTCCCTGTGGGGTCTGTTCATGCCCTGTCCTCAGGTTTGAGGGGGGGAAGGGGAGTGTGAGCACTATGCACACTGACAGATGGGATTCGAGCCAGAGGGAGGCAGTTCTTTATCTCTCTGTCTGTGTGTTAGAAGGTCTGGCTTTATTAACACTGTTGCGATGCGTGAGGGCACAAGAGGCCGATGTATTAATTGGGATCGCTGATCTTAATCTTCTGAAGGAAACGCCGTCTGGTGGGAGGGTGACCGTGAGTATCACTGTGTTCTGAAAAAGGGGGAAAGCTCATTTCAAGCCTCTCTGGGGAAAAAAAGGTCAACACATGTTGATATGAGCTCGTCTTTTGTCAGCGCAGCTCAATAGAGAGCTGCTTTGTGGATGACTTTATCATGAAGACAGCTTCCTTTTTCCTTGACAAATGGATTGTTAAATTGGCAGTTTAAGGGTGTTTCACAACTTGTATGACAAGTTTTTTGCTTTCGTCATGATCATTCTTTGCATGAATGCCTAGTGTTTGTTGTTTGAATGTTTTGCCTTTTCCATATGGTTGAAGATGTAAGCACTTGTCTATGATGTGTTAAAAGACTTATTTTAGTTAACCAACAAAGGCTATACTATGCAGAAAAGTGCTGTAGAAACAGTAGATATGTATTGCTGTCATGTGCATGTGAGCCTCTTTAGAGAAAGTCTCTGCTGGTTCCTGCCCTCTAGAGTGTTTTTGGGTTGCCATTAGTTGCATTTAGCTGGAATGTCTCTAGATATTTAATACCCCAGTTAACGTGAAACAGCTGTGAAGTGCATTTTAAATCTGATAGTGAGCGATCAGTCTATTCAATGTATTTCATCATGGATAGCTATGTCATTGTTTGTGTATACTCATTAGTAATTACTGTATATATGGGGTAAAATAGTGGCATAAAGACAAACTAAATATTATTCAAAACCTATTTTTGAAAGTATATAGCTCACATTGCAATTTTTGTTGAAGTGACTGACATGTTTCCACAACAAAAACTGAAACAGTCAACAGAAACTAAAAAAAAATTTAAACAAATTATTCACAAAATTGGTTACTTAAACAGTTAGGCCTAGTTAAGTATAGCCAGTTGTTGTCATCACATGTATTTGTATTAAAAAATGACCAGGATAAATAATGTAAGGAAGATTATATATATATATATATATATATAATCTTGAGTATAAAAGGTTAACAATTAAATTATTTATTATTATTTTAAATAAAATTATATATCTACTTTTATAATTATACCTGTAAAGTGCACATTTAAAAAATATATATATTTTACAGGCATACAGAAAATATATGTTTTTTTCTGTTATTTTGTTCACATATTAAACAATATGAAATTTTATAATACTATGTTCTGTAATATATTTGATATATAATATATCAAGTGTTTAATATTATCATAATAAAAAAAAACACACTAACCACTTCAACACAATATGGAGATAATATATGTATGTATTATGCCCTGTATGTATTTACAGTATGTTAAATTTGGCTGTAGAACTGTAGAGTAGTTTTGAGAGCATATATTCCTGCTGTGCTACATAACGTTGCAAAAGAAGTGGCACAGTAATACTAGATCCCAGTATAAACACCTTAATAATGAGAATGATCTTTGGCGCAGCTCAATTGCATTATAACAAACCGTTTGCATTTTGAATTACTGTTTACATTTTATGCCAATCGATTGGTTTGATTTTTCTCATTAAACACAACTTGACTGATTTGCTGCTCGTTTGTTCTATTTTTCAGAATCAAGAACAAGTGGATGATCTAAAAAGAAGCATACGTTCTCCTCCAGATAAGGTAACACTGAGGCATCCTGTCGATTATGGCAATATCAGATTTACAGTTACATCACTCATTTCGATTAGGCTTGTTTGCAATGTCAGCATAGGTTCAGTTAACTCTGCTCCTCTTGCCACAGTATGTAGCATTTCCTTTTTGTGTAAGCAAATGAGCTTAGAAACACAGCCAGACGTTATTACAATAAACACAACTGCTGTAAACTCTGAATGAGAGCTGTGGTGTTCAGCCTCCACAAAGCAGGAAGTGTTGTAGTGTAGGCCGGTGCCTCTCGTAACATGAGGATTTGATAAACACAAACACGGTCACTGTGGGAACCCCATTAGGAAGTGAATAAACCAGTAATTTGTGAAGTTGTAAATATTGCGGCTGTATGCAAGACCTGAGCAAGAATCTCTGTTTAAGCCCAGCCAAGATGCGAAAGTTAATTTACTGCTCTGTTTATGAGCTGCTCAGCAGGCAGAGGCTAACAGAGGTCTTTTCAGCCACGGATAAAGTGGATTATTGTTTGGCTCGCATGGCCTCTAATTGCAGCATACATGGTTTAATTGCGAAGCACAGAAGCTTTTGATTTTATCTAATTCCAGTAGCCATGGAGGTCCTAACGGTAATTTATGTACAGTACGTCCAGTGCAGGGCTGAACTTAAAGGGGATAGTTCACCCAAAAATAAACATTCGGTCAGCTTATTCCAAACCTATATTAATTCCGTTTTGCTGAACATAAAACTTTTTGAAAAATGTTCTGTCCATGCAAGGGATATCAGTGGGCTCCACCATTAAACACATGCAGCTAGTATTAAATTTGAAATTTAATATTAATTTTATTATTAAAATTAGTCTGTTTGGTCTTACTCTAGTTTCTTTAAACAGGAAGTTGTTTTGTGTGACACTCCCTCACCAACTTTCCTGGTTACTCCGGTTTAAAACAACAATTCGCGCCCCTCATCACACTATACCTTTTTTTTTTATACTAGCTCTCTAAAGCATGTAAGAGCACTTGTGAAGGGTTTGTCAAGGTACAAGGTTTTCATTACACTACACAAACACACTTCCGAGGCCCCTCCAGCATTTTTACACCATAAGGTCACCCCATTACCAATGCAGGTCAAGGCCTGTGTGTGCGCATGTGTTTTGAGATGCATTTGTAATGGGTTTTTTATATGTAGTATGTGGGCAGTGTGCTGGATTTGTGCATGTCGTGCTGTGATGATTCACTCTGTATAATAATGAATAGAGTTCATAGTGAAGGACATGCACGCTCGCAAAGACACGGCTTAGAAATGGGCTGAATGTTCTGTGCCCGCTTTGTGTCACAGCCACCAGAGTGACAGTTTCTCATGCTTTTGCAAGTGCAGTTGTTCCGATGGTTGGAGCACTTTATGTTTGACAGGAAGCTCGTTTGAATCGCCTGCACTCATGTGTGGCGGTTAACCACATACAGCAGAAACGGTATTGTCTTCACATCCTCTTGCACATAAGAGCATTTGGAGGAATAAAACTGAATAGTGGATGTAACCTTGATGTTGCCGTTTTTATTCCGTTTGATTTTTTTTTTTTTTTTAGGTGACTTATTAAATGTGCTACACACTCAGTCAGCAATTAAGTGAATATATTCTAGCTGAGGTTCATGAAAGTGCCAAAATCGTTACCACTTCTGTACATCTGCTGTTAGAAGCTAATGCCAGATGATGATGCTATTATTATTATAGTGTGCACTTGCTCCCTCTGCTGGAGCAGTGAAGAGTCACATGCACTGTCTGCATGTATTATAAAGTCACCATGAAATCACAATTTGACAATTTTTGTGTAGAATATGCAGTTTATTATTAATAATATATGCATGCACATGATTATTTTTAACACAAATAAATAATCCCTCCTCTAGCCTATCTGCCACATGAGGTTGCATCAATCAGCCAACAACAATGGGCACATTTACATGCAAGCATTTATATACACTGATAACTACCAAAAATCAGTTTATTAAAATAACCTGTTTTCCAGTTTACATGCAAATCAGTAACCCGGCAATGCAAGTAAACTACGTTTGCAAGACTTTATTAAAAATCTGTTTATTTCCTGGTGGTGATTACATCAAAAATCCATGTATTCTTCTCGGAGTATTCAATTTGTTATGTTAAGTTAAATAAATGCATACTGTTAAATAAACCATTAAAAACCTCAGAGTATTCCAAAATGTCAGGGCAGATTTGCACAGACTCCTTTTCTTCTCATATTTGAAGTCTGTACCACTTGTCCTATGGCTGCATGAGATGAGAACATATTTTTTATTCAGTTTTTTGGGTCAAGAAAGAGTCGGAGCTTGCAATACATTTCCTCCTCCCCTACTGTAAAACATTTGCTGTGGTTAGATGTGCTTCCTCTCATATATTACATGGGTGTTCACATGCTAGACAAAATCGGGGTAATGGACAAAAATCTAGCCGTGTTGATCAGTTTATGCTTAAGCTGTTTATGAACTTGCACCGGAAAAGGCATTGTCGGCATATTAAAAAAAAAATGGGTTTAAGAATGTGCATTTAAACGCACTCAATGATCCAACAATTCAATCAGTTCCTGATACATTACTATGATAGAGTGCAGTTATAACTTTATTCCCATTAAAAACCTCAGAGTATTCCAAAATGTCAGGGCAGATTTGCACAGACTCCTTTTCTTCTCATATTTGAAGTCTGTACCACTTGTCCTATGGCTGCATGAGATGAGAACATATTTTTTATTCAGTTTTTTGGGTCAAGAAAGAGTCGGAGCTTGCAATACATTTCCTCCTCCCCTACTGTAAAACATTTGCTGTGGTTAGATGTGCTTCCTCTCATATATTACATGGGTGTTCACATGCTAGACAAAATCGGGGTAATGGACAAAAATCTAGCCGTGTTGATCAGTTTATGCTTAAGCTGTTTATGAACTTGCACCGGAAAAGGCATTGTCGGCATATTAAAAAAAAAAATGGGTTTAAGAATGTGCATTTAAATGCACTCAATGATCCAACAATTCAATCAGTTCCTGATACATTACTATGATAGAGTGCAGTTATAACTTTATTGCTTATTTGGCATAGTCTTAGTCGGTTGATAAAAATAAACATATCAGTAACTATACTCAATAAAGTATTTCAAAACAGCTGTTATAATCTCATTTGAAATATCATATCAGCATATCGGAGCATTTCAACTATTTAAAATGTATCCTCTGGCTGTGAATACATATGAGAAGGGCCAAGTAAAACTGACCTACAAAGAAGAAAACTAGTATCTCTTATGTGCTATGTTTTCCTGTTTTCAGAGTACCAGCATATTCTTTTTATCTGCTAGTTATGTACCAATTCAGATTGCTTAGATTCTCTAGAACATCAATGTTAAACAAGTAGTATATTACCGTTCTAATTGCAGCTCTCATCATTTTTGCTATACTCGTAATGAAGTCACTGTTTATTGGTGAGTTTAGGTTTCTTAGTTTTATTTCATGCAATTGTTTTTTTATCATTATATCTTGATTAGGTTTCGCTGGAATGGGTAATCTTCTAAAAGTCCTTACAAGGGAAATAGAGAACTATCCACATTTTTTCCTGGACTTTGAAAGTAAGTTTTGAGAAGAGGTGGAGTCTGGGGTTGGCGAGACTCTATAACCAGCTGTTTATTCCCCAGCAGTGGCAGGAGCTGGGCTGACCGTCTCAAAGCTCTTATAAGACAGTTTTCCCTCGTTGCTTTCTTGTGGTGAAAGTTTATGCTTCCTGCTGTCCAGAGCTGACGCTTTGTCTACAGTGTGTCCTGGGAATTAACTAGAAGAAATGTTCTGATTTAAAGTAAAAAGGAAAAGCAATAACGGTTCAGATTCAATTTGGAATGATTTCCATGTTCACCATGAGAAGTTGAGGGAATTCTGTGTGTAGGAGCATGAGACTTTGCAGAATTACTCTTTAACGCTCAGTGTGACATCCTGTGATTTTATTGTCTTTGACGTTCAACACCTTTCTCTTTTCTCTGTCTTTCTACCTTTTTCCTCTCTTTCTCTTCTTGCTTTTCTGTTTCAGAAACCAAATGGGGAATCTGTTAAAAGTGCTCACTTGCACAGAGCTTGATCAAGGGCCAAACTTTTTCCTTGACTTTGAAAGTGAGCAGAGCTTTTGCCTGGCCTGGTGTCTGTCACTTTTTCTGGCTACTAACTTTTTGCAAGTACCATTGTCAGAATTGTCCTTGCAAATCTACTCGTCACAACGCAACAGCAAAACAGTTTCACAATGCTTTTGCATATGCAAATGCTTTGTGCAAATGAGTTTGATCGGGCAATAGTTAGGATATTTTATCTTTTTTACATGCCATCTTTAATTCTAAGTACTCAAATTGCAAATACAAAGATATTTAAATCTTTTCTTGAAAATCTAAAAAAAAAAAAAAAAAATCTGATTTGTTGTTGGCAAATGCGCATGACTTGCTAATTAGTATTTGTAACTAACCACATATCCAATATGTCTGTGTACTGCAGCATGATACTTTCTCTGAAAATGATCTCCTTACTCTTTGCAGCTTCTGCTTGTTCTGTGATATTTTTTTTTAATCTCTGTTTGTCTCATTCTGAACTCTCAGCTCTTTCAATCCTTTACCTCTGTATACTTGGTCAGTAAACTTTGAAATCCTGTGACCTTATTATACTCAAAACCTGTTATATTACACTAAACATTGGATTTTGTTTTCTGTCTAGAAACTTTAAAGAGAGCTTTACCCAAAATGTTCAACATTTCCTGACTATTTGCTTTGCTGCTTTTTTGATTGCATTTCAGCCATAACTCATAACCAATCAATCTTTACTTTTGAAATGAGCATCTCTATGAAATGTTGAAATATCGGGGAACCTCTGGTTTAAAGAAAGAAAATGATTTTTTTATATGAAAATATCACCATTTATTTGTTTGTTTGTTGTGTTTATACATTGCTCCTAAAAATATTTGGGCGCTTAAGCTTCAGTTTAATGTATGAATGTCATTACATTACATTAGATGTACAAAACATCAAATCAAGTGGCATTTATTTTAAAGAAAAATTACATTAACACATTTTTGAAACAAAACATTTCACTAGAAGTTGTTCATGTGGTTTTAAACTCAAAAGCAATTGATGTGCTGAACAAAGCTGAAGTGTTTAGCCACTTTCTGGTTGTCAAATTTGATAGTTGTTGGGTGATGAACTGGATTATAACCAAATAAAATAATGACTTCATGCATTTACTTCACTACTAAAAATTAGATTGTCAATAAAAAAGGCTGTAATTTGGAAAAATGGAAATGAAGATCTGAGCTCTGTTCTCTGGTTTGCAGTTGACACTTGGTTTGATATTATATCTAATGCTGTGAAATGCATTGCATGTAATAACTAGTGCTTGGCAGTGTGTAATGTAGTTTATTTGTGTCAGATGCACAACCGACAGACTGTGAGAGAGAGGTGTGGAACCAGGTGAATGCTGTTCTCCAGGAGTCAGAGAGCATCCTGTCCGGCCTGCAAGCCTACAAGGGGGCGGGCCAGGAAATACGAGATGTACGTCTGATTAATAGTTCCGCTTTGGCTTTGTCGGTCAATTAGTTGTATTTAATGGCATTTAGAGGAGTATATTTCTCATGCCAGATTAAATCATGTGACTTGTTTGACGTTTTAGGCAATACAGAATCCTAATGACATGCTCCTTCAGGAGAGGGCGTGGAACTCTGTGTGTCCACTTGTCATCCGCCTAAAGAAGTTCTATGCCTTTTCATTGAAACTAGGTACACTATTCGTATATAATTACCTATATCCACATATTTTCTCCTTAGTAAGAAATGTAATGTAAGCTCTGCATCTGATCTGCTTTCTTCCTCTCTTCCATGTAGAGGAAGCACTACAGAGCCTTTTGGAGTCTCTGACGTGTCCGCCGTACACTCCCACTCAGCACCTGGAGAGGGAGCAGGCCCTTGCTAAACAGTTTGCTGAAATCCTGCATTTCACGCTCCGCTTTGATGAGCTGAAGGTGCCAGCTGTTTAAAAAAATAAGAGGAAATGTATTGATTGGCACTGTGCTAGCAAATTCCTTTTTAAATGTATTTAACATTTATTTAGATGAGGATTCCAGCTATCCAGAATGACTTCAGCTACTACAGAAGAACAATCAGTCGAAACCGATTAAACAACATGAATGTAAGTGCAGGAACCTGAGATAAAAGGATATTGTAAACACTTCTGTGCTCATTTCTATATTCATTTGTGTGTTTGTGTGTTTTTCTCTATCAAGCTTGATATTGAAAATGAGGTCAATAATGAAATGGCAAATAGAATGTCTCTGTTCTATGCTGAAGCCACACCTATGCTGAAGACCCTGAGCACAGCAACGACAAACTTTGTGACAGAGGTACTGCTTGTTTCTACAGTCGTAATTTTAGCACTTTAATTCCCATCAGAAATACTGTAGAACACTAATGGTCAAAAGTTTGGGGATAGCAAGTTTGTTTTTTTTGGGAAAGAATTTAATACTTTTATTCAGCACAGCTGCACTAAATGAATGATCAGAAGTGACAATAAAGACTAGGGGGGGGAAAACTGTTATTTTAAATTGTATTAATATTTCACAATAATATTGTTTTACTGTATCCTTTCAAAAACCTCTTCAAAAATCTTACCAATCCCAGACTTTTGAATGCTAGTGTATGATAATCAGTAGGCTCCATGCATTGTAATTTCCGAGTGATTTATTCCTTTAATTCTTTCTCTGTAGAATAAGACATTACCTCTTGAGAACACCACAGACTGCCTGAGCACTATGGCAAGTGTATGCAAGGTCATGCTAGAGACACCGTAAGTACTCAAGCTGTTTGTTGTGCCTGTATTGAAGTGTATCATTGTGGCATTATGCTCAATCTTTTACCTCTGCTAACAGAGAATACACAAGTCGATTCAACAGTGAAGACACACTTCTGTTTTGTATGAGGGTGATGGTTGGGGTTATTATCCTCTACGATCATGTGCATCCAAACGGTGCCTTCAACAAATCCTCAAAAATCGATGTAAGGCTACATTTCTCATATTTTCTCAATCAACCAAAACTTTTTTGAATGAGTTTAAAATGACTTTTCCCCCTCATAATGTGATATACACACTTTCTCTAGATGAAAGGATGCATTAAAGTCTTAAAAGATCAGCCCGCAGATAATGTTGAAGGTCTCCTTAATGCCCTCAAGTAAGTTTACTTTTCTGTTCTTAAAAAAAAGATGCTACAGCTTGTGTAATGAGTTTCACAAGTCATATGATCTTTTTTTTGTTTTTTTTCCTCCAAAGGTTCACCACAAAACACCTGAATGATGAGTCCACTCCAAAAAATATCAGAACAATGCTACAGTAATGGTTTTAAGTGAAGCGGGTCAATATTCTGACCTCAAAAGATGTATATGTTTACATTTATTTAAGGACTTGATGTTAATACTTGGGTGTATTTACATAATCATTCCCTCCAAGTTACTGCAATGTAAAGAAAGCAGACCTTTATTCTAAACAAATTGCCTATTCTGTCGACACAAGCACAAATTAATAAAAACCAAGCAGCCTTATGAAAATTCATGAAAAAAAAATCATTTGCAGTTTTGCTTTCAAATGAATAACCATGATCATGTTAACCAAAGGGGCTTATGCACTGGTTGTGAGTTACAGTGAAATCCTATTGGCTAAAGTGTAGTCAATATTGAATGAGTAAAGCGTGGGATGCTTGTGCTTTTGTATTTTGTAATGATGAGAAAAGACAGTTTAAAAAAAAATACCATAATGTGATGGAACCACTTTTTTTTTTTTTTCAATTTTTTCCCAAATCTGTGGTTTGGCTGATGGTGGCGATATCAGCTTTTATTTTTGTTATTATGTGATGTGTGTTATTTGTCTTTACGCCTCTTTGTTTCTAACACATTCGATACTCATCAATACAGCTTTAAAATCTGAAATAAAATTGACATTTTGTTTATTTTTGATTTATATTTGTGATTAATCTTCTTAAAAAAAAATATTTGTCACTAATTTGAAAATTTGCAGTTTTGCTTTCAAATGAATAACCATGATCATGTTAACCAAAGGGGCTTATGCACTGGTTGTGAGTTACAGTGAAATCCTATTGGCTAAAGTGTAGTCAATATTGAATGAGTAAAGCGTGGGATGCTTGTGCTTTTGTATTTTGTAATGATGAGAAAAGACAGTTTCAAAAAAAAAAAAAAAATACCATAATGTGATGTAACCACTTTTTTTTTTTTTTTAATTTTTTCCCAAATCTGTGGTTTGGCTGATGGTGGCGATATCAGCTTTTATTTTTGTTATTATGTGATGTGTGTTCTTTGTCTTTACGCCTCTTTGTTTCTAACACATTCGATACTCATCAATACAGCTTTAAAATCTGAAATAAAATTGACATTTTGTTTATTTTTGATTTATATTTGTGATTAATCTTCTTAAAAAAAAATATTTGTCACTAATTTGAAATCCTGCATTAATATTTCAGGTAAGGTTAGAGATGTGCGGGTTTTTAAACATTTAATGTCCATTAACAACAAAAAGACGTTAAAGAGTTGGAATTTTTAAAAAATTTTTAATGCGCTAAATTGATCAACTGATCAGCAAAGACTTTCAACTTCTTTTCAAAAGAATGCTGTTCTTTTGAACATTCTGTTTATCAGAGAATACAGAAAAATATCACAGTTTCCAAAAAAAAAAGTATATATATATATATATATATATATATATATATATTAAGCTGCACATGATGGTGGCGATATCAGCTTTTATTTTTGTTATTATGTGATGTGTGTTATTTGTCTTTACGCCTCTTTGTTTCTAACACATTCGATACTCATCAATACAGCTTTAAAATCTGAAATAAAATTGACATTTTGTTTATTTTTGATTTATATTTGTGATTAATCTTCTTAAAAAAAATATTTGTCACTAATTTGAAATCCTGCATTAATATTTCAGGTAAGGTTAGAAATGTGCGGGTTTTTAAACATTTAATGTCCATTAACAACAAAAAAACGTTAAAGAGTTGGAATTTTATTTTATTTATTTTTTTTTTTTTTGATGCGCTAAATTTATAAATAAACTTATCAGCAAAGACTTTCAACTTTTTTTCAAAAGAATGCTGTTCTTTTGAACATTCTGTTTATCAGAGAATACAGAAAAATATCAGTTTCCAAAAAAAAAAATATATATATATATATATATATTAAGCTGCACAATTGTTTTCAACAATGATAATAATAAGAAATGTTTCTTGAGCAGCAAATCAGCATATTAGAATGATTTCTGAAGGATTGTGTGACATTACTGAAGTAATGGCTGCTGAAAATTCAGCTTTTCCATCACAGGAATCAATTACATTTCAAAATATATTCAAATATGCCATTTTGAATGCAATATTGCTGTTTTAACTATTTTTGATCAAACACATGCAGACTTGGTGAGCAAAAGAGACTTCTTATAAGAAACATTTCAAAATCTTACCAGTCTTGCAGCTTTCTGAATGGTAGTGTAATTGACTAGACTAGAGAACCAAAAGGCTGTGAAGACTCGGTTTAAAATAGTAATCCCTGAGTTGTTAAACTAACTGCAATTCACATTCATAATGTTACAACACCGGATGGCAGTGTTTCACTGCTCTCACTTTAAAGCATCATTTTAGCCCAGACGGAGTAAGCAAGCATAACATTATTTTTTCATATTCACTTTTATAATAGCAACCACTTTAATATTAATTACAGAAGATCACCAGAATCTCCTAGCATAAATGTAGTGTTTTATTAGATTTTTCTCTATTAAGTCGTGACATATCCCAGTACACACGATTCAGCCTACGTGATATCTGCATGATTCCCCCTCAAACAGGTCGCCGTGATTTTGCCAAGGAAGACATGTTCCTGGATCAACATCTTTTGTTGATCCTGGATCAACATTACTGTCCAAAAATACAGACTTAACCCAATCCCTACCCCTAAACCTAAACTTACCCATAATTTATTCCTAAAATCAGAGGGAAATGATAGCTGATTAACAAGGGTCTAGAAGCACCTAACCCTGATTGTAAGCCTAAAACTGACATTTCCTGAAAAGTTATCTCTCAATTCGGATTGGTTGATTGGAATGATGTTCCAGGATCAACAAGGATGTTGATCCAGGAACATGCTGTACTTGGTCAAATCACGCTCATCCCTCAAACATCTGTTCTGGAAATATGTAATGGTGAGCGAGTATGAAATTCTGTAGGAAAAGGACATGGACAAAGTCATGTACGGCGATAGCGATATATTTACGACAGTGAATTCCACTCACCAAACTGTAGGGTGCTCCAAAATCACAAAAACTACATACAAAAACTACATTCCACATATTTCGAAATCATGAAAATATTCAATTTCTAGAAATTGAGTATGCCACTTTAAAAACGGCAATCATTAGACATGTTCCGCTTATTTTTGTCACCAAATGAATTGTACATTCAAGCACACGGTTGGCTGTGTGGCATTAGCTGAGATTGGCAGGCGTTATGCGCCATGCTGTTATTGTTTATGGCCCAGTACTCTTGATGGAGTGGCCACTGGCTCCGTATTATTATGCAATCAGGAGAGGTGTCTCAGTATGGAGGAGGAAAATCCTTTCAGGTGCCAGAGCCTGATGGCGGCACTGCAAAGTCATGCTGCTTCTGAACAGAAACTTGGCGTCACCGACAGGATCTAAACCCATGAGACTCTCAGTGTGCAAGCAACATTGCACCACTCAAGAAATCTGAGTTCTGCTTTCCTCTATTAAGTCATTGCTTATTAAAGAAGAATGTTTTGGATCAAAGTGCCTGAGTTGTTATAAAATCATCTGATGTTTTGTGATTCTGTAATGGAATGATCTCTTAATTACATCCTAACGGATGTAGCTTTCAGTGCGCTTGAAGTGAATCATTCTTAACTCATTATGAACATTTAAATGTCACATTTTTAATGTCAAGACATTAAAAATATTACAGTAAAATATCCGTAGCTTTTTTTGAAAGCTTTCCAGTTGAGCAATTAGAACAAAGATAGAAATGAACTGATTCATGAACATTTCCATTGCACAAAGGGTCTTTACATTGGAGAATGTTCTTTAGTTAATTAAAATGTTCTTCACACTAAGAAAAAAAAAGATTGAACTGTTCACTAAAATGATTATTTTAATATGATTATTTTATGGCATCATTGCAGAAACCCCCCTTTGGAACCTCTTCTACAAGTATAATGCCCTTTATACACAAAAACCCGACTGTTATTCACATAAAACAAGACAGCGCTTCTCTGTGTGTGTTTGAGAGGAAATCAAATGCAGTGTTTTGCCTGTAGGGAGTTAACCGATGTGAAAGTAGTTGGGTGTGACAGTGCAGAAATTGGAAAAGAAAGGGTATTTGAGTGTTCTGAATACAATATTTAAGTATTCATAGCACATGTTCGACCACTGGGGATATGGATTATGTGAACAACTTGAATAGCTGATCAAATGTTTTCTCCATGGATTGAAGAGCATATTGATGAGAGCTTTGATCTTTGGGCATAAGCCGCAGTTTCAATCCATCCATTCCTGCCCACAAATAAACTCCTATAATCCAGTTCACGCAAAGTAGCTCCTATTGTGTTCTTTATGCAGTCTATAATTTGAATCAATGCCTTAATGCGTATAGTTGAATTATATATATTTATGCAGTAAGATCTGAACCGCATGCTGTATTTCAGCAGGCTTGTCTTGGAGCTGTAGTCAGTGTCTCATTCTGTTTTATTTCTTCACTGGTTTGTTTATTTTTGAAGAGTTTATAGAAGAGCTTAAAGCAAAAGTTAAAGCTCTTTGTGCCGTGAAACCTCAAGATCCATCAGGTTCAGTCAAACTTGGAAGAACTTGCTCACAAACTCTCTCTTTTTCCTGAATAATAGATGCCTTTCTCTAAAATATACATGAAAGCGTTCATTGTGCACTCTATCTGAAGTGTGGTGTATTACGTAAGCCATGGCTTGATGAATGATACATACACAATTCCATCTTGAATTTTGTTGCATAACTGGCAAGATGCATACGGAGACCTTGGGGCCTACTTCTTTTCCTTTGATTAAAACAAACAGCTTTTTTCGTTCTGCTACCACACATTCCTGCGTTTTTTTTTTTCATACCACAGCTGCTAACCGTCATGTAATGCCGGATAATTGGTGTTCTTGCTCCCTGCGTGGTTGGCAAAGTAAGGCTATGCTAATTTGTCTTTGTTTTCTAAAGAAGTAACAGCCGTGTAATCACTCAATTAGATGGTGCATGGTGTTTGTGTGAAAATACTATTTGAGAGAAAGGACTGTGTTGCATCTGTCTAAATTACATTGAGCAGAATGACTTATTTTAATTGCATAGAAATTACGTTTTGCTGTAGGTGTGTATAAATTGTATCAGGTTTAATAATGTTTCCTGGAATTAGTCAAATGTGCTTAAACGGGTCATGTGAATGCTTGGCGTGTTTCTGTAGCCAATTACAGTTTAACGGCTCAAAAGAGAATAACAGCGTTTGTGTGGCAAATGCATCAAGCTTGATGATATGACACTCATTACACTGTGTTCTGGAATGCTAGATTCTGATTGGTCAATTGTGGCATTCAGTAGTCTGGTATTTCCTAATAATCAGTTGTCTATGGCAACGCGGTATATCAGGCTGCTCGGGTAATGCTGACCACACATTATAGCTGCATCCCAAATGGCACACTTATTCACTATG